AAGTTTAGGTGCATTTTTTTGTAAATGATTTTATTGAAGGTAATAACCAACCACACAGACTGACGACTACAAGTGGTTTCATATGACCACGCTTGCACGTTTTATGAGCGGGTTTAAATTATTATTAGCATTTGTACATTGGACCTGATTTAGTGGTGTGCGATTGCCTGCAGGCTTTATATGGCTGTATTGCCATGAGAAATATATACTGCAATTTACAATATATTATGCTTGCATCTAAGCCCCAGATATTGTTTCAACAGTACTTTAAATTGGCTTTTAAATTCACAAGAGAAAGTTTTATTTTATATTTCTTGGTTGTACTTGTTTGTATTAACATTTATTGGTAGAAATATCATATTCATATCGGTTTTTACAAATCATGGGCTCGCACGCTGCTATCTAATTTTTATTATTGTTTCAGCAGCTACAATAGCACGGTATTGCCTATGTTCATTGTCGGTATTTCATATGTTCACCTCTGTTCCCACTGTCTCTATTGATTGTTAATATTAAATTAATTATTATTAAATTGATTAAACGATTAATTATAAATTAATTGAAATTTATGAACGACAACATATTCGCCTGAGTTGATCGTTGGTTCTCTATCAGTTTGTCTTATTGTTTGTGTTTCCGGTCACTTCACTACACTTCACTTGTCTACTTACCGAAATGAAATGAAACCGTAGCCATAACGATCGGTCGCCTAGGTTATGTGTGTCCCCACGACGTCGCCCCCATGTTACAGCAGTTTGTCCGACAGTGGTGTGTAAATTTCTTTATTATTACATTCTATTAATTATATTACCTTCTATTTTTATTAGCACTTTATTATTATATATTATTCCCGACTCTTCAGTAACATTGCATCAGGGGCTGCTAAGAACTTTTGTGCAAGAATATCGTAGCACTTTTATATTATACATACATATACGATATATAGAGAGAGCCCATCATGATTTTGTTTTTACATTATAAAAAGAATATGTTACCTGATTTCTTGATCTCTGAAAAAAGGGTGCAGTTTATCCTGAGTATAATGTTAAACTTGCCCAATAGTTTTTTGCAGTAGTTTTTACATTTACTTTGTACATTCACCTTGGTTTACTGCCACCATGCAAGTATGTTATAGGCTCTTGATTACTGCAGTTTGAATCTAGGATAGGTTTACATTTGTCACGTTTTTAGGTCTGTGTAATGTTTTAGCCTATGTATTATTGCCTTGCATTTAAATCTAGAAACATATATACTTTCTTTTTTTAAATATATTTTTCACTGTGTGCAGATAGTATCATTCAGAAGTGTATTCTTGCATGTTAATTAACTCGGTATCAATTTTGTCAGATATATTCTAGTTATGTTCTTACTATCATAACCACTATTAATATCTCTATTTTGTAATATCAAAATCTTCAAAATTAAAGAGACGTCAAATGTAAACCACGCCGATAATTAATTGATAAAGTAAAGTTAAAATAAGAAGTTAAAGAAATTTTCCTTAGGTAAGGCTTACAAATGTTCACAAAAAGATACAAAATTACAGAACATTAAATACTTTTAATTATCATTAGATTATATTAGATTAGACAAAGAAATTTTTTCTTATTTTCTTAGATCAATAGTTTAGATTTTCTATTCTCAATTTTGTAATAAATTAAAACATAAAAATGTAACAAAAGATGACGTTTGTTAGATTACGATTCAAACACAAAACTTGTCTCACCAAAGCCAACAATTTTGCCACGTTAATGGAAATGACTTATTAATGTATAACTTATATAACTTGTGTGGAATGGATATTACATCAAGTGACTGGCTGTCATTTTTCACCATAGTCATATTCTTATGAATGTAAACATTTTTATCATAAAGGAGGTAGATTTATCGTTGACAATTCAAGTAGACAATAAATTGATTAAGCAAAGCTGATAATGTAATACTAAAGAGACTATCAATATCACATTTATAACGTGTATTCTTCAATTATGATGAATTTACCTTCTTAAATCATTAGCAGCATTCACCTCGTAACGTGTGCATATACTTTATTAGGTGTACTTCTTTGAGGAGCATTAGAGATAATGAAGAGAAGGATTCGGCATTCAGAGGTATGTGTCAGATGATCACGGTAAATCCAGCAGGCGTTGTACAAGATTTCATCTTTTTCTGTGATGCTGTTGCATCTTGGGTCACGCCTAGAGAAGATCTTAAGGACATGTTTCAAAAGGTGCATATATAAGAAATAAATCATCGCGATATAAATTATTTGTTTGCAGTAGATCAATTACCTGATTTTCTAACATTGAAAAAATTTATGTTGTTCTGTAGATATTACATGGATTCAAGAATCAAGTTGGTGCGGAAAATTGGAAACGATTTTCAGATCAATTCCCACCACAGCTCAGTGAACGACTCCATAATATGTATGGCGTCTGAGCAGCTCCGCCTAAATGCGGTAAGTGATTTATTCTTGCATTTGTATGAAACGTGCCAAGTTCCAAATAATTATATATGTATAGTTGTAATTACTATCTGCGAACTACTACTGATTAACATGCGAAATAATGGCTATTTTTGCAAATGTAAGATTAGTTTTGGAAATATGTTAACACAGAGCAATTGTATCTCTTTCAGAAGGCCGCTTTAAGGGGCAGGCCGAAAGGGGTTGGGCGGGAAACAAATCAATGGGTGGACAGGGTGGGTGGGTGAAACCACGGCCTCTTCTCATCAACATCGTTGTCGTTACCATGTTATGGTCATCGTCAGGCTCTCAGGGGAATTAGTATGCGTTATTAGAGCTACAGTCAACAAGAGGTACAAACGAAAAATCGAAGTGAGAATGAAACGAGGAAAAATGAAAACGACAAAATACATGTCATGGGCCGAAATGTAACGCGTGGGTGGGCGGGTAGGGGGGCGGGAGGGAGGGAGGGAGGAACTGTGTTGAGGTCACCGACCACTTTACAGTAAAAGGTATCGTAACTTCAACGCTAAATCGCATTGCAAACAGACAAAAAAAAAAACAAAAAATGATACCTTAATGTAGTGAAAACCTACACGCTGTACACTCCGTTTCCATTAGCGCTGTGTAACACTGTTAAGTGTTTAATTCTCGTGCATTGAAACGAGAAAACAAGAAGTGCTGGCAATCAACTAGCCCAGCTCTTAAACGAAACCAACTTCTCGATCATCGTGGAGAAGGAGAAACTAACAATACGCGAACCAGAAGGTATAAAAAGAGTGAAAAGGAGAAGAAATATAATAATCGAAATACAAAAGAAAGAGTATAGATCTCACGTTATAGAGCTTGCTAAACTACTGTGATCGAAGATTTATACATTAGGAGATATTGATTTTTTTTCTTTTTTTTTTTTTTTTTTTTTTTCTTTTTTTAAGAAAGATAGAGAGATGCCGCATTCTATATAATGAGTTATGTAGAACTTTAGATGGTGGTAGTAATACTTATTTGATATAAAATTAACAGATAGAAAAGTATGTTATTAGAAATTTCATAGTGTACAGAAGGTTTTTGAGAACATGTATTTTTATACGTTGAGACTCAATACAAACGCAGAGAAAGTGCCATTCCGTTCGTTTCGAACCAAAATTTTTCTGCTTACTCTTTATTCTCTTCTTGCTGATTGTGATATTAGGTTATATGACACTT